AATTTAGTTCATCATTCTAGGCAAGGTTACCTATTTAGTTTATTGCTTAGGTAGGGATACCTAATGCTCATTTTTAGGTAGGGTTGCAAAATTTAGTTTATCGTTTAGGTAGAGTTACCCGACGTTAATTTTCGAGCAAGGTTGTCTAATTTAGTTCATCGTTCTAAGCAAATGTTGCTTGACGATCATTTCTTTTTCAAGTAGAGGTCTGCTAAATTTAGTTTATCGTTTAGGTTAGATTACCTAACACTTATTTTCGAGTATGGTTACCCAACGCTCATTTTCGGACATGGTTGCCAAATTTAGTTTATCGCTTAGGTATGGTTACTTAGCGATCATTTTCAAGTAAGGTTACCTAATGCTCATTTTTAGGTAGGTTTGCCAAATTTAATTTATTACTTAGGTAGGCTTACCTAGTGCTCATTTGCATGCGGGGCTATCAAATTTAGTTTATTACTTAGGCGGGGTTACCTAACGCTCATCGTGCAAGATTGGCAAATTTAGTTTATCGCTTAGGTAGAGTTACCTAATGCTCATTTTTAAGCGGTGGTTGCCAAATTTAGTTTATTGCTTAGGTAGGGTTGCCTAACGCTCATTTAGGCAGGATTGCCTATTTAGTTTATTGCTTATATAGGGTTACCTAATGCTCATTTTTAGGTAAGGTTATCAAATTTAGTTTATCATTTAGATAGAGTTATATGATGCTCATGTCCGTGCAAGGTTGCCTAGTTTGGTTCATCGTTCTAGGCAAGGTTGCCTAATAATAATTTCATTTTCAAACAGGGTTTCCTATTTATTTTATCGATTAGGTAGGGTTGCTAGATTTAGTTTATCATTTAGGTAGGTTACCTAACGCTCATTTTTAGGTAGGGTTGTCAATTTAGTCTATCGTTTAGGTAGGGTTACCTAACAATCTTTCCATTTTTAGGAAAGATTGCCTAATTTAGTTCATCATTCTAGGCAAGGTTGCCTAACGATCATTTCATTTTCAAGCAAGGTTGCCTATTTAGTTAATAACTTAGGTAAGGTTACCTAACTAGTTTTTCACTTTGGTAGAGTTATCTAATGCTCATTTTGTAGGTAGGGTTGCCAAGTTTAGTTTATTGCTTAGGTAAGGTTACCTAACACTCATTTTCAAGCAAGTTTGCCTATTTATTCAATTGTCTAGATAAGGTTACCTAAGGCTTAATTTTTTAGACGGGGTTGTCAAATTTAGTTTATCGCTTAGGTAACGTAACATTCATTTCTAAACAGGATTGCCAATTTAGTTCATCTTTCATGTAGGGTTGCCTAATGATTATCTCATTGCAAAAGCTTAGGTAAAATTACCTAATGCACATTTTTCGGACAAGGTTGCCTATTTAGTCCATCATTCAAGTAAGGTTACTTAATGATCTTCTCATTTTCCTAAGCAATTCACCATTTACCATTTGATTTAAATTTTCTCGCTACTTTTTTCTTTGCAAGCTCATTAAGCAAACTCAAATCGAAACTCAAATTTCAGTCGGTGTTTGCACCGTAAGCATTGCAAAAAGGGGGCAATTATGATACCCTGAATGTTACCCATTTTTTTCTTTTATTTTAGTTATTTTAGTTTCTTTTCATTATTTAGTTCATGTTTGTTTAATCAAAATAATATGAAAAACAAAAAAAATCAAAAATAATTTCTTTCATTTACTTAGAATTCAGTACAAAGATTATAAAAGGAATAAAAATACAAAAAAAAATACGAAAAAGAAAATAGAGGTGGAGGGACAAATCCCCCATCCTTTATGCAATTTTTGCTCTCGCAACTAGCCACTACTCTAAGACCTAAAACTATCGGTTTCCACCGTATTTCGTGCAATCTTCTCCATAATCTATCAACCAACAATAACAACTCACAATCCTACCCTTGCCACACCGAAGTTCCCATTGGACAATTTCGGTCTCCCTCACCGTGCTTCATGTTTGCCACTCTTCACCCTTTTGTCCAAGTAACTCTTGCCATACCCAAATTATCTTCCGGACAATTCATTCCTCCCTAACTTGTCTTGCAATTGCCACCCACCTATAACCACTCTAACGTTACAAAATCCAGCAGTTCCTCTCCCTCAAGTCAACAATTTTAGCCTCCTTTGCAGCTCTACAATCTCCTCCACTTACAGACCTCCCCTACTACATTATCTTCTTAGTAACCTACAATCAACTTTCCCTAATTCAACAATCCCGACCTCTTTTGTAGCTCAAAATCTCTATGGACGACCTCCCCTACAGACCACCCTATCGTTGTAACTCCCGTAGCACCTCCTACACAGACCACCCTACACAACCCACAACCATAATGCCATAAGCCCCCACTCCATATCTTGCAATAAAATCTCACACCATCATGGTGGAGAACCCAGCAAACATTTATAAACAATATCTATAAATAGCAAGAAACACAAACAAAAAGAGAGGAGAGAGTTCAAAATTTAGAGAGGAGAGAGTCCTAAATTTAGAAAAGAGAGTTAGTTCAAAAATTGAAGAAAAAGAATATATATATAAAAAAGAAATTAATAGTGAAGCAAAAAAGGAAAAAAAATCCATAAAAAAAGAGAGAAATTAAATTTACCTAAATTGAAGTCGCAATCTGCATCCTTTTCTAACAGATCCTTTTAGGTAATTCTATCTAATTTCTCTTTAATTTTAGTTTTGATAGAATTTAGGTTCGTACTTGAAATTTATGATTTTTTTTAAATTTAGGTTGAAATTGAGTTTAGAAAGTACAAATTAAATTTAATTGAAGCCAATTGGAGTTTCAATTAAAGGTTAATTGATTTTAATTTAAACTTAGGGTTCTTAAATTTTTTTTTCAAAAACATTGAATGGGGGAGTTTTCAAAATTGAGTCTTAAAAGCTTTGAATTGACTTAATCTCAAAGGAAATCAAGTCAATTAGGTATAATTGAAAGAAAATTTTAAAAAATTGAAAAGCTTGGGTTCAACCAAATTGGGGAAGAATTTTGAGAAATTGATTTGGGGTTTTTGATTGGATAAGGAAGAGAAAGAAAGGAAGGGAAAAAGAAAGAAGAAAAGGGAGAGAATTAGGTGGCCATGGATGAACCATCATTGGTTCATCCATGGTAGTTGGAGATTTAAAGAACGAACGAAAAAAGAGAGAGGATTCGAGTTTGAGAGGGTGAGAAAGGAGAAGAGGAAGAGAAGAAACGAAAGAAAAGGAAAGAAAGAGAAAGGGGAGAGGAAGAAATAGAGGAGGACGAGTTAGTCCCATCGAGGCCAATTAGGGGAAGAGGAAGGGAAAAAAAAAAGAAAAGGAAAGAGAGAAACGAGAAAGAGAGAGAGAGAAAGGAAAAAAATAAAAAGGGGGTTTTGATCCAAATTTTTTAAGACAAGAAATTAAGATGTGTTTGTGGGTTGGGTTAAGCCCAACCCACACCGGTGGCCGGACTCGGACTAATTCCAGTCCAGCCACCCAAAAATAAAAAAAATTAGGTTGGACTCGATAGTCCAGCCAAAAAAAAAAAAAAAAAGGTCTTTATTTTTATGCATGTTATTATCTCATATTTAATTTAAATATTGAATTATCTTTAATTATTTTAATTAATGTAAATTTAATTTGGAGTTTATTTTATGCATGTTTTTTAGTTTATGTTTAACTTAGAATTTAATATTTTAATTTTTTGTAATTATTTTAGTTAATGTAATTGTATTCTCGAATTTATTTTATGCATGCCTTGTATTAATTTAAATTTTAGTAGTTGAATTTTCTTTAATATGCTTAGTTAGTTTAGCTTTTAATTAATTTATTTATTTATTAGACTCGGTAATTAATAGGTGGAGGATTTTCAAGTCTCCTAATTTTTTAGGAACCGATGACGATTTTCCACCAAATAAAAAAAAATGGAAACAAATGAAAGAAAAAAAATCATGATAAAACTTTTAACAAAGTCTTCTATCCGATAGGGATTGTTGTTAGTCAAAAAATCATTTTTAATAAACAAGTGTTTTCCGATACACTAGTTATGTCGAGACTCAAAAAGTGCATTCGATATTTGAATCGACGTATCTCCCGATGAAAAGGGTTTAATGATCATTTCAATACGATGCCATGCTAAAAAAATAAAATACTTAATTTGATTTGAAAAATTGGAGTTTCAAAATTGAAAAATAATTTGGCGAAAGAAAACACTTTAGGAGATGAATTTAGGACTAAACTAGACGTGATACCTTTCTTAGGAAATGGTACTTTTGGGTGATTGATATCTTTCCAAAAGTGTAACAAACTCTTTACCATAGAATTTACGAACCAAGTGCCAATTTTAGATTCCTTGTTTCTTTAGTATCGGGTGATGACTCCAAACTTGTAAATAATTTAGTAAATAAATAAAGCTTAAACTAGATGCTTTGGGAGTCCCGTCCGACGTCGGATAGTGACACGCCCTACTTAATTTATAACACTCCTCATATCTCCCTTCCCCTCTATATAAACTGTTTCAAAGTAGTACTCTTAATTCCATCATTTCATAATTAAGTTTGGATCAAACCATGCATAAAACCATGGTAGGAAAGGTATGATTTATTTGTTTTAAATTATTTTCTAGTGAGATTAATGAGGAACAATGAGTTTTTATATATATATATATATATATATGGATGAATGTATATGTATATGTATATGCATGTATATATACATGTATGTATGTATGTATATGTACATGTACATGTAAGTGTGTGTGTGTATATATATATATATATATGTACGTACTAACTACTATGATTACAGCAAGTCACAACAATGGTGATTAAGGTTGACCTTGGATGTGAGAAATGCTGCAAGAAAATCAAGAAAGTACTGTGTAAAATATGTGGTGACTTTTTCTTAATTTTCTTCATAAAAATAGCATAAGTTTTGAGCTATCTTTTTACTTATGACTTGAAGGAAAGTGACTAAGTTTTGATGATGTTTCTGAACATGGAGAAATTCAAAACCAAACGTATGACAAGGAGGAAAACACAATGACGATAATTATGGCGTCTAGCTTTCCTGAAAAGATTAAGAAAAAGATTTGCTACAAAGGAGGTAAAGCTATCAAAGGCATTGAAATCAAGGTGCTAGAGAAGCCGCTGGCTAAACCCATAGATAATAAAGCTCAACCTAAAAAACAAGAGAAACCCACATCTCCTGAACCGGTTACAGGGCACCTGGTACAATTCTACCTAAAGGCATGTTGTAGTGAATGCTATCAAGGGTTTGGTGGAGGCCTATGTTTTCATGGTTGTACTAGGCCAACACCCCAATTCTATCAACCTTATTAACCGTGTGGAAGGTCAGGTTTTGATAGCTAGGGTGGTGGTAGTTGTAGTTACCGACGTAAGGGTTACTATTCATGCAGATGTGAATATGGTTATGGAAATAATCCCTCATCATGCATAATCATGTAAATGGAAAAAAAAAGTATTATGGCTTGCTTTTTATGCATATTTTCTTTCATTAGGAGTTACCTACTGTATTGACGCTCTTTTTAAGTGTGTAGGTTTCTTATTTGAAGATATATGTAAAATTATACGTAACTCCCTAGACTTTGTTCTGATTATCTTTGTTTTGTAGCTTTGTCTATCCCTTAAATAAATAAAAGTCATTACGTTTATGGAAATAATCTCTCGCCATTTTATAATATCAAAGATTTTACCAGATTAATTTGAAAAATATTAATGCCATTAGCGTTCCATTGAAATCAAATATTCCAGTGGTCTTGATGCATGGACCTCAATTATAAGTAATATTTTGTAGATGATGAAAACATGGGCGTTGTAGTATGATCATCATGAAGCAAAATAATCAATAGATGTCCTTGTTAGTTCTTTGACATGGTATTAGAATCTTGATGATCAAACGGTCACGAGTTCGAATCCTACCACCTCTACTTTATCTTCTAATTAATTAAGCACGAGATAGTGTGGGCTTGTGCAAGCTTTAAGCACAAATGGATTTCACTTAAAGGAATGTGTTAGAGGATAATATAAATCATATCATTAGTTGTCACTTAACGACTTAAGCTTTTAGGTGAGATGATTCTTTAATACTTATATTATATGCATATGTCAAACTAATTATTCTACTATAAATGTAGTCACCTCCACCCTTATAATTTTTATTTTGATGTATATAAATTGTGTTAAACGTTAAAGTTTTTTTTTTTATCTCATCATTGAATCCAACAATTCAATTAAACTTGAAAAGTAATCTTAAACAAGGATTTAAATTGTTTTTATTTTTTGGATCTTCCAAGGTATCCCGGACCCAAAAACCCGGACTAATTACTCATTGTTATGTCGATCATACAAGGCGATGATATCTACCCATAGAGTTTTTTGTATACACAAGGACTTGAATTCGATACCATTTGCTTAAGCTAGAGGCATTTTCACTCAATCCAACCCTCTTGGATAAATTATTTTCATTTTTAAATTTAAAATATTAGTCAATTGATTTTACTTGAATTAAATGATTAAATTAATGAAAAGATAAATATATAAAAAATGTCAAATTATATATATATATATATATATGAGGGAAAAAAAAGCATGGTTCTTACCATTTAAAAAATGTGCTTTCCAAACATAGGGAAAGGGACATGGCATATTGAATGCACTCATGTCATTTCACCAAAAATATTACAAAAATTTCCTTTCGAGTCCTATTATATTAATTATATTTAAAATGTCCTTAATTATTATCTAGAAAAAAGACAATAGTTAATTTAATTTAAAAAAAATTAGAAAAAAAATAAAGATGGAAACTCAAAGCAAAATTCACATGAAATTAAATACTAAAACTAATATTGTTTATATACAAAGAAAAGCCATGTTCCATTTTATATTTTTTTTTATCTAATTTTAATAAATTCTCAATTTAATTATTTTTTTGAATAATAATTAAGGACATTAATTTTGAGTATAATAGGACTCATAAAAGATTTATGTAATATTTTTTTAAACATGAAAAGTTTTCTTTTTATATATATATGTTGAAATATTTGGATAGTCTATATAATCCCCCCAACATTTCAATTATCCCTCTAATGAAATGACAAAAGCATTAATAGAAATTGAAGAGGTTATGGCCATGTTTATTGAATTGGAATTTAGATCAAAAAGTTTGTAACTCAATGATAATGGTCTTTGATAAGAAGTTATGGGTTCAAATTCTAACAGATTAGTTCGTTAGGAGTCTTGGGTGTGGGAGTTTAAAAAAAATAAAATTGAGTTGAATTTCTCTTGTTCTATGATAGGCTAGGAGTTGGACAATTAGGGCATCCCATTGAATTATCATGGACAACTTCTGGAGAAACAATTTTTGAACTTTTCTCCTTTCTATCCATAAATAGCAATAAACAAATAGCCATTGTCTCATCCCCATTCCTTAATGTATTGCATCACCATCATTGTTCAAGTGATGGAATAAAACTATTAGCATATTTTTAATGCTAGATGTTTGGGGAAAACGATTAGAAAAATCTATGTATTTGTATAAATGTTTCAAATTGACTCTTATAACCATTTTTTTAAAGACGGTAATGATATTTTTGAATTAATTTGTAAGATAGGAAATATTATAATTTTATTTCTAGATAATTTTGATAGTTTTTTTTTCTTAATGCTAGTACTTAAAATAAAGCTCGGAAAGTCAAAAGATATAGACAAAGCTTGTTCACCTAACTTTGTGGCTAACCTAAGTATTCACTGAAAAAATAGAAGGTGACTAGTATATATCCTGCGCGTTGCCGCGGGGTAAGCTATACAACATTCCGATATGTTCATTCATATAAAATACAAAATTTAAAAATAATTATTTAAAAGTATCACGTAAAAAATACATATATTTCATATTTTGCTACGGGGTTAGCTAAATGAAAAGTTTACAAAATTGAGTAATATAATGATGCAAATTAGATTTTGTTTGATATAAACATGTATTTTATTTAAAATATGTATAATAACCGATAATTAAAATAATGATGTGATAGTTTTTTAAATTTTACATAATTAATTTTTACCATATATTATTCATCCGTAATTTATTAATGATATAGAGAGATAACCCAAAACAAAAACACAAAAAAGATTTGTCAAATCGAGAATTTGAAAAAACAAATAGAGATAAAATTACACACGATAAAAATTAAATGATCAAACAAAGTAAAGGTCATGAAAGAATGATCAAAATAATTAAAAAAATTTTCATTAAAAGTAGAAAAAAAACTTATAAGTCTGTAAGACTGAAAAAAAAATTTGTTATGTATAAGACAGGAACAAAACTAAAATATTATAAAATTTTAATGACCAAAATAAAGAAAATTAACAAAATAAGAACCAAAATAGAAATTTTTTTTTTACTACAAGCCAAAAAAAAAAAACATAGAGTAGTAAAACTAAATTTAATTTTAGTGTAGAATGAATAATAATCAAATCTAATAAAAATTTAATGATCAAAATAAGAGAAAACTCACCAAAAAAAAATCAAAACATAACAAAAAGTTTTACTAAAAGCAAAAAATAGTTCCTTATAGGAGAAAAGTCAAATATAATAAAAATTTAATGATCAAAATAAAAAACAATTACAAAACGAGGACTAAAATAAAAATAAAATTCTACTAAATTTAATGGTAAAAAGAAAAAAAAAGCTTAGGATAGTAAAATTTATTTAGTTTTAGTGTAGTAAGGATAAAAATCAAATATGATAAAACTTTAATGATTAAAATAAAAACATATCAAAAAATAGAAATAAAAAAAAGCACATAAATTTTTACTAAAATCCAAAAAAAATATTTATTGTTCGGATAAAAATCAAATATAATAAAACTTTAGTATTTATTACTGGAAAAAAAATCAAATATAATAAAATTTTAATGACCAAAAAAAAATTATAAAACAACAATCAAAATAAAAAGTAAACTTTCCTAAAAGCTTGGCTAAGCAACTAGGTTAAAAAAAAAAAAAACAAGAGAATAGTGAATAAAGAAAGAAAGTGCTACGAGTACTTTTTCGTTTTGTTTTATTTTTTCGAAGAATAATCAAAGCAATGAGGATATTGACGAAGATGATGACGATGATAATTACATCACATTCATGATCGAATTCTACTTTTCCACATCTTTATGGGTCCTATTGTGCGAAAAATTAAATTATGATCACATTTCTTGAACAATCTTAATATATATATATATATATATATATATATATCATCGAATCTCCCTAAAATCATTTGAAGAAATGTCGAAATCTTCCACTAATCTTTTTTTGAGTTTGAATCCCCTTATTTTTAGCTAATTAAATTTCAAAATTAAGATTTGACGGTTAGAATTTGAATTTGAATGAGGTCGATTTTAGGAGACATTTCAACGAGTTTTGGCCTATAAAAAACTTTCGGATTCTAGTTTCCGAGGAGGGGGCAACAAAAAAGAGCTGAGAGAGCAAAAAAAAAAAAAAAAAGATCATTGTTGATCTCTAAAATTTTTTTCGGTTTCTCACAAAAAAAGGCACGAAAACACCTATTTTTTCACCTTTCAAACCCTCTCGTTCTCCCATAATTTTTCCCATACTCGTTGCTAGCGAGGTTATGTAAAGTTTTCCACCTAAAAACATCACAAAAAACCAAAAGCTGAAATAAAAATAGCCAAACATACCCTAACCCATTAAACCGGACTTGTTTACCCAACCGAAGGTTTTGCCCTCCAATTGATCTTTTTTTGGTTAGTTTTTATCCCGATCAACGAGCACTCATGTGTAACCCATCACTAGATCGATCAATCCATATCGGTTAGAGAGAGAACCAATTACAAAGGAGAGAGAAATCGGAGATTAAACCACCACGACTCGACCCGTAAAAAGATCTTGTCGTATCTCCCAATTCCGATCGCATCTCCAAACTCCACTTCCACAAACTTGGTCGGCCGGCTCCTTTGAATATTTCACCTTTGAAATCTCAACCCAATGACACCAAGAAATGATCTAATTGAATGAGACCCATTATCGACCTGTTTTGGTAAACCCGAAAAAGTTGATCGATCTAGAAGGAATTGGAGGTCCTAACCACCACAAAAATCCCTCTCTTATCCTTGCAAGTTGACCGATGTGCTTGGAATCCCAAGAGAAGGTCGGATTCATCGTCATCGTCTCCAATTGAAACCACCACCATTGGACTTATAGTGATCGGATCTATAAGCCGAGGTGGTCCATGCACTTAGAGGATCAATGGAAGATGAACACTCATCGGGCATTCGACCTTTGGTATTCTATAGGCATTTTTGTAATTTTTAGTGTATGTGAATTTTGGACTATTTGGTTTTGTTTTTATTTTATGTGTTTTGTAATATTTTTTTAGCCTTATGCATGTTAGAAAACTTAGAGATACTTAGGTGTGCAATTTATGTT